CGCTCTTCCCAGGGGTTCTGGAGGTACCTGGGGCAGCCCCTGTACTCCCAGCTGAGCAGCCTGCCTTGATCCCTACTGGGCAGGCCCCGCACTGGGCATCTTGGAGGCCCAACTGGAGAAAGACCTCGATATCTCCGCAACTGGGCCCAGCCCCCTGTTGCCACAGACGTGGAGAAGAGTCCGGTCAGAGCCTCTTGGACGAGTGGTCAGATGGACGAGTGGGCGGCCACGTCAGCCTGGCTGCAGGTGTGGGCGCCAGGATCTTCCAAGGTGTCCAGACCACGTGCTGACTTCACAGCATCCGTGGGCCTCTGGGGCCTGGTGCTCGTGGGGCCTGGCTGCTCTGGGCCAGCGGGTTGCGGCTGATGACCAGCTCCACGACATCGCCCGCCTCGGCCAGGAGCGGCACCGTCAGGCAGCAGTCAAGGTCCCGCGTGTGAATGTGGTTGACCTGCACGTGCACAGCCATGGGGCAGATGGCGTCAGCTCAGCCTGCACTGAAGTGGGTGAGAATTTCCTCAAATACAGACCCTGCCCCGCCCAGACACAGGGTGAATCTGAACACTAACACAGAGGAAGGCACTCTCATTTCAGTCTTTCAACCCTTCCATGCATCCTTCACCCTCCAGCACCTGCATGTCTCCATTTTTTGTCTCATCTGAAAAATCTTATTTATTTATTTATTTTTTGCAGTACACGAGCCTCTCAGTGTTGTGGCCTCTCCCGTTGCGGAGCACAGGCTCCGCACGCGCAGGCTCAGTGGCCATGGCTCACGGGCCCAGCCGCTCCGCGGCATGTGGGATCTTCCCGGACCGGGGTAGGAACCCGTGTCCCCTGCATCGGCAGGCGGACTCTCAACCACTGCGCCGCCAGGGAAGCCCCTTATTTATTTATTAAATGTTTTTTTATTGTGGTAAAAGTCACATAATATAAAACATACTATTTTAACCATATTTAACTGTACAGTTCAGTGGCACTAAGTACATTCACATTGTTATGCAACTCTCACCGTCATCCATCTCCTGAATTTTTCACCTTCCTAAACTGAAACTCTGTTGCCATTAAACACTAACTAACTCCGAAATCCCCCCCCAACCACTGGCCCCTGGCATCTACCAGTGTACTATCTGACTATATGAATTTGGCTATTCTAGGTACCTCATATAAGTGGAGTCAAACAGTATTTGTCTGCACCTCATGTATACTGGAATGCATTTTTAAGATTAACTTACTATATGTCCTGCAAACAGATTGGACCTTTTTTTTCCCCCACGCTATACAGTAGGCCCTCACCAGTCATCTACTTTATATATAGTAGTGTACATACATCAATCCCAATCTCCCAATCCATCCCACCCCCCCTCCCCACTTGGTGTCCATATGTTTGTTTTATACATCTGTGTCTCTATTTCTGTTTTGCAAATAGGTTCATTTCTACCTTTTTTCTAAATTCCACATATACGTGTTAATATACGATATTTGTTTTTTCCTTTCTGACTTACTTCACTCTATATGACAGTCTCTAGGAATAAACCTACTAAGGAGGCAAAAGACCTGTACTCAGAAAACTATAAGACACTGATGAAAGAAATCAAAGACAACACAAACAGATGGAGAGATATACCATGTTCTTGGATTGGAAGAGTCAATATTGTGAAAATGACTATACTACCCAAAGCAATCTACAGATTCAATGCAACCCCTATCAAATTACCAAGCTCATTTTTCACAGAATTAGAACAAAAAATTTTACAACTTGTATGGAAACACAAAAGACCACAAATAGCCAAAGCAATCTTGAGAAAGAAAATGGAGCTGAAGGAATCAGGCTCCCTGACTTCAGACTATACTACAAAGCTACAATAATCAAGACAGTCTGGTACTGGCACAAAAACAGAAATATAGATCAATGGAACAGGATAGAAAGCCCAGAGATAAACCCATGCACCTATGGTCAACTAATCTATGACAAAGGGGGCAAGAATATACAATGGAGAAAAGACAGCCTCTCCAATAAGTGGTGCTGGGAAAATTGGACAGCTACATGTAAAAGAATGAAATTAGAACACTCCCTAATACCATACACAAAAATAAACTCCAAATGGATTAAGGACCAAATGTAAGGCTGGACACTATAAAACTCTTAGACGAAAGCATAGGCAGCACACTCTTTGACATAAATCACAGGAAGGTCTTTTTTGATTCACCTCCTAATGAAAATAAAAACAAAAACAAATGGGACCTAATGAAACTTAAAAGCTTTTGCACAGCAAAGGAAACCATAAACAAGACGGAAAGACAACCCTCAGATTGGGAGAAAATATTTGCAAATGAATCAACGGACAAAGGATTAATCTCCAAAATATATAAACAGCTCATGCAGCTCAATATGAGAAAAACAAACAACCCAATCCAAAAATGGGCAGAAGACCTAAATCGACATTTCTCCAAAGACAACATACAGATGGCCAAGAAGCACATGAAAAGCTGCTCAACATCACTAATTATTAGAGAAATGCAAATCAAAACTACAATGAGGTACCACCTCACACCAGTCAGAATGGGCATCATCAGAAAATCTACAAACAACAAATGCTGGAGAGGGTGTGGAGGAAAGGGAACCCTCTTGCACTGTTGGTGGGAATGTAAATTGACGCAGCCACTATGGAGAACAGTATGGAGGTTCCTTAAAAAACTACAAAGAGAACTACCGTATGACCCAGCAATCCCACTACTGGGCATATATCCAGAGAAAACCATAATTCAAAAAGACATGCACCCCAATGTTTATTGCAGCACTATTTACAATAGCCAGGTCATATTCCATTGTACATATATACAATGGAATATTACTCAGCCATAAAAAGGAACGAAATTGTGCCATTTGCAGAGACGTGGATGGACCTAGAGACTGTCTCCATTTTCTAACATCACAAGCAGACCACACGCTGAGCCTCCTGCCTAGAATGTGGGGCATGGGAAAGGGTGTGCCAGGGATGCCCCACAGCTTCTATCTGCCCACTCACATTTCCCAGGCTCCCTTGCTGTTAGTGAGATAACATGACTTAGTTGCCATGGAGTCCGAGGCATTTACTAAAGGGTGGAGCCTCCACCAATCCAGGTGGAGCAAGGCCCACACTGGCCCACAGTGGACATATCATATAAGTGATAAATAAATGTTCATGTGTATTAAACCACTGAGATTTGGGACTGTTTGTTCCTGCAGCATAACCTAGCCTAATCTCACCAATACAACTGTGTTGTCATTCCCTTCTTTCAGATGAGAAACCTGGGGCTCAGGGCTTCCCTGGTGGTGCAGTGGTTAAGAATCCGCCTGCCAATGCAGGGGACACGGGTTTGAGCCCTGGTCCGGGAAGATCTCACATGCCATGGAGCAGCTAAGCCCATGCGCCACAACTACTGAGCCTGCACTCTAGAGCCCGCGAGCCACAACTACTGAAGCCCACGCACCACAACGAAGAGTAGCCCCAGCTCACCACAACTAGAGAAGACCCATGCACAGCAACAAAGACTCAACACAGCCAAAAACAAATAAATAAATTAATTAAATAAATCTATAAAAAATAAAGGATTATTTTTTTAAAAAAAGAAACCTGGGGCTCAGAGAGGGGAGGCAACCTGCTCAAGGCCACTCAGCCAAGGTAGAAGTCGGGCTTTCTCCCCACTATGGGGCTAGGAAAGGCCACTCCGTCGATAGTGCCACCACCCAGCATTACCTGGAGGACCCTGTCAAAGGGCCGGAGACCCCCACGTTGAGCTGGCCCATCAGGGCGCACAGTGTGGACATAGACGCCTTTCTCCAGGAGGCCATCTGAGACACTAAAACCAAAGTCACTCCGTACAGGGTCCTTGTGCAGTGTCACCTGGGAACAGGAGGAGACCTCTGGAGCCCCGATCTTTCCCCCTAGCCTCCCACAGCTGCCTAAGCCCCTTGGTCTGGCATCTGATGCCTCCAGGACCCAGCCCTAGCCCACCTGGCTGCTCTTTCACATGTGTTACTGCCTCGGCATCGTGCCCAAGCCTTGGCTTCGGGAGCACCCCCTCCCCCCACCTCCGCTGACCCTCCATCTACAGCACTCAGTCACAGTGGAAGCTGTAGGAAAAGGAGTTCCTTTCAGTTCTTTTTCAATCTTCCTGCTTCCATTCCAGGAGAAAGTCTCAGTGGGGTGGACATGTGTTTTCACCACCCTTTGACACTTCCCATCTCCCCGTCCACCAAAGAGCTGGCTTCAGGCTCAGAGCCTTCTGAAGGTTATAATGGGCCGAGAGGTCTTTTTTCTCTTCTGTGTTTTGTTTTCCTAGACAGTAGCCTATAGATGGCAAAAATGCTGGCCTCTCATTTAAGGTACTGATATGCATGCACACACACACACATATATATATATACACACACACATATAGAAGCCTTTATATTATACATGCACACGATAACTTAAGTGGGGCAAAAGTGAATCTACTTAAAGAAAAGTATCACACGTGTGTGTGTGTGTGGTGTGTGTGTGTGGTGTGTGTGTGTGGTGTGTGTGTGTGTGTGGGGTGTGTGTGGTGTGTGTGTGTTGTGTGTGTGTGGTGTGTGTGTGTGTGGTGTGTGTGTGGTGTGTGTGTGTGGTGTGTGTGTGGTGTGTGTGTGTGGTGTTTGTGTGTGTGTGGTGTGTGTGTGGTGTTTGTGTGTGTGGTGTGTGTGTGCGGTGTGTGTGCGGTGTGTGTGGTGTGTGCGGTGTGTGTGTGCGGTGTGTGTGTGTGTGGTGTGTGTGTGTGGTGTGTGTGTGGGGTGTGTGGTGTGTGTGTGTGGCGTGTGTGTGGTGTGTGTGTGAGGTGTGTGTGTGTGGTGTGTGGGGGGGGTGTGTGGTGTGTGTGTGTGGCGTGTGTGTGGTGTGTGTGTGAGGTGTGTGTGTGTGGTGTGTGGGGGGGGTGTGTGGTGTGTGTGTGTGGCGTGTGTGTGGTGTGTGTGTGAGGTGTGTGTGTGTGGTGTGTGGGGGGGGTGTGTGGTGTGTGTGTGTGGCGTGTGTGTGGTGTGTGTGTGAGGTGTGTGTGTGTGGTGTGTGGGGGGGGTGTGTGGTGTGTGTGTGTGGCGTGTGTGTGGTGTGTGTGTGAGGTGTGTGTGTGTGGTGTGTGGGGGGGGTGTGTGGTGTGTGTGTGTGGCGTGTGTGTGGTGTGTGTGTGAGGTGTGTGTGTGTGGTGTGTGGGGGGGGTGTGTGGTGTGTGTGTGTGGCGTGTGTGTGGTGTGTGTGTGAGGTGTGTGTGTGTGGTGTGTGGGGGGGGTGTGTGGTGTGTGTGTGTGGCGTGTGTGTGGTGTGTGTGTGAGGTGTGTGTGTGTGGTGTGTGGGGGGGGTGTGTGGTGTGTGTGTGTGGCGTGTGTGTGGTGTGTGTGTGAGGTGTGTGTGTGTGGTGTGTGGGGGGGGTGTGTGGTGTGTGTGTGTGGCGTGTGTGTGGTGTGTGTGTGAGGTGTGTGTGTGTGGTGTGTGGGGGGGGTGTGTGGTGTGTGTGTGTGGCGTGTGTGTGGTGTGTGTGTGAGGTGTGTGTGTGTGGTGTGTGGGGGGGGTGTGTGGTGTGTGTGTGTGGCGTGTGTGTGGTGTGTGTGTGAGGTGTGTGTGTGTGGTGTGTGGGGGGGGTGTGTGGTGTGTGTGTGTGGCGTGTGTGTGGTGTGTGTGTGAGGTGTGTGTGTGTGGTGTGTGGGGGGGGTGTGTGGTGTGTGTGTGTGGCGTGTGTGTGGTGTGTGTGTGAGGTGTGTGTGTGTGGTGTGTGGGGGGGGTGTGTGGTGTGTGTGTGTGGCGTGTGTGTGGTGTGTGTGTGAGGTGTGTGTGTGTGGTGTGTGGGGGGGGTGTGTGGTGTGTGTGTGTGGCGTGTGTGTGGTGTGTGTGTGAGGTGTGTGTGTGTGGTGTGTGGGGGGGGTGTGTGGTGTGTGTGTGTGGCGTGTGTGTGGTGTGTGTGTGAGGTGTGTGTGTGTGGTGTGTGGGGGGGGTGTGTGGTGTGTGTGTGTGGCGTGTGTGTGGTGTGTGTGTGAGGTGTGTGTGTGTGGTGTGTGGGGGGGGTGTGTGGTGTGTGTGTGTGGCGTGTGTGTGGTGTGTGTGTGAGGTGTGTGTGTGTGGTGTGTGGGGGGGGTGTGTGGTGTGTGTGTGTGGCGTGTGTGTGGTGTGTGTGTGAGGTGTGTGTGTGTGGTGTGTGGGGGGGGTGTGTGGTGTGTGTGTGTGGCGTGTGTGTGGTGTGTGTGTGAGGTGTGTGTGTGTGGTGTGTGGGGGGGGTGTGTGGTGTGTGTGTGTGGCGTGTGTGTGGTGTGTGTGTGAGGTGTGTGTGTGTGGTGTGTGGGGGGGGTGTGTGGTGTGTGTGTGTGGCGTGTGTGTGGTGTGTGTGTGAGGTGTGTGTGTGTGGTGTGTGGGGGGGGTGTGTGGTGTGTGTGTGTGGCGTGTGTGTGGTGTGTGTGTGAGGTGTGTGTGTGTGGTGTGTGGGGGGGGTGTGTGGTGTGTGTGTGTGGCGTGTGTGTGGTGTGTGTGTGAGGTGTGTGTGTGTGGTGTGTGGGGGGGGTGTGTGGTGTGTGTGTGTGGCGTGTGTGTGGTGTGTGTGTGAGGTGTGTGTGTGTGGTGTGTGGGGGGGGTGTGTGGTGTGTGTGTGTGGCGTGTGTGTGGTGTGTGTGTGAGGTGTGTGTGTGTGGTGTGTGGGGGGGGTGTGTGGTGTGTGTGTGTGGCGTGTGTGTGGTGTGTGTGTGAGGTGTGTGTGTGTGGTGTGTGGGGGGGGTGTGTGGTGTGTGTGTGTGGCGTGTGTGTGGTGTGTGTGTGAGGTGTGTGTGTGTGGTGTGTGGGGGGGGTGTGTGGTGTGTGTGTGTGGCGTGTGTGTGGTGTGTGTGTGAGGTGTGTGTGTGTGGTGTGTGGGGGGGGTGTGTGGTGTGTGTGTGTGGCGTGTGTGTGGTGTGTGTGTGAGGTGTGTGTGTGTGGTGTGTGGGGGGGGTGTGTGGTGTGTGTGTGTGGCGTGTGTGTGGTGTGTGTGTGAGGTGTGTGTGTGTGGTGTGTGGGGGGGGTGTGTGGTGTGTGTGTGTGGCGTGTGTGTGGTGTGTGTGTGAGGTGTGTGTGTGTGGTGTGTGGGGGGGGTGTGTGGTGTGTGTGTGTGGCGTGTGTGTGGTGTGTGTGTGAGGTGTGTGTGTGTGGTGTGTGGGGGGGGTGTGTGGTGTGTGTGTGTGGCGTGTGTGTGGTGTGTGTGTGGGTGGTGTGTGGTGTGTGTGTGGGGTGTGTGGGGTGTGTGTGTGGTGTGTGTGTGGTGTGTGTGTGTGTGGTGTGTGTGTGTGTGTGTGTGTGTGTGTCACCCAAATGGCAGGAGTTCTGGAAAACTCTACCTTCTATAAACTCTGTGTTTTATTGGTGGAGGAGAATGAAGCCCAGAGAAGGGGGGGCCCATCTGGAGCTATGGCGAATACCCACGGCATCAGGACATGCATCCAGGCCTCCTGTGCTCCCCCAGCACCCACCTTGTGCATCTCCAAGGGTGTCGGCAGCAGCACCTCCTGCATTTCTTCTGGGGAAGCTCGTATCTCCTGGTTCCTCCTCCAGGGCCGGAGGCCAGGCCTGCCCTCGAGGGCTACGTTCTGCACGGTGCCTGTCATGATGGATGCCTGTAGGGACACAGCTCTTCACTCAGATGCTTCCTGCTCTGTGTGCGGTCAACATCTATGGACACCTACTGTGTGCCAGCCTTCAAGGTCACAATGGTGAACAGAATAGATGAGGTCCCTGCCCTCCTAGGGCTCTCAGCCCAATGATGAGCAATCAGAATAATAATCATTGGCACCGAATTATTAGCACTTATACTGCATTGGACTCAGTTCCAAGCGCTTGACACACAGAACTCATTTTATGCTCTACAATATTATGAGCCAGGCAAGTAACATTCCCCCCGCTCATTTTACAGAAGAGGAAACAGGCTTAGAAAGATTAAGATTTGAACTCAGAGTCTGGCTCCAGTGTCGAGGGTCTTAACCACTCTGCTAACTTGCTAGTCACAAAAATAAAGAAGATGAAATTACACATGGCAGTAAATGTCACAGAGGCCAGGGTACACAGAATGTGAGAGGCTGGAACAGTGAAACTCGTCAGTATGAGGGATTGGGAAAGCTTCCAGAGGCGAGATCTGAAAGATGAGCAAGAAATGGGGAGGAAGGAGAGTCCCCGGCAGGAAGAGGAAACAGCATGTGCAAAACCCCAGCAATGGACAGATGTGGACGGAGGCCCTGCATTTGAGAGGGTGCAGAGGATGGGGCTGGGAGGGCAGAGGCTTAACCCTGCAGCACGTCCTCAGTGGCAGTTCTGGGGCCCCAGGGCAGTGGCTGGTGCCACGGAATGGGGGGAAGACGCAGTTAGGGGCGAGCGGGACTGTCAGTGGCCAGCTAGAACAGGGGCAGGTGACATGGTGTGGAGAGCAGTGACACAGGACGCCTGGGAAGAGAGACAGACAGACTGAGAGACAGGCGGGGCGGGGGGGGGGGGCGGGGGGGGCGGGGGGGAGCCGCAGCTGGACCGGGACCCCCGGCTGCAGCGGGAGCGACGCGCCGGCCTCCCGGTGGGGGTGGAGCCCCGCCGCGGCCCCAGGTAACGCCCGGCCTGGACCCTGCGCCTTGCGCCCCAGGCGCGGGGCCAGAGAGACGGAGCGATAGGGGGCGGCCGCGGGCTGGCAGTGTAGCACAGGGACATCCAGCGAGGCCGCTGCCTGCGTCCGCAGGGCCGGAGCTCGCTGTCCCGGGGGGGGGGAGATCCATGGTGTAGCCCCAGAGGACAGTATTAGGAATTGAATAGACCATAAAAACAACTTAAACCCTGTGGGAGGCAGGTACGTGCTTACAGGTAAATTCCTATCTTTAAACGCACGATGTTAGGGAGCAAGAAAGACTGAAGACTAAGGAGTTAAGAAACCAGGAAAAGTATCAGGATTTAAACACAAATAAAGTAGAAGGAAGGAAATTTCGACGCTAGACATACAAAAGAGTAAGACAGGAAACAATGAAACATGAGACATAGTTAACAAAAACAAAACTTGGTTCTTTGATGAGCCTAGTAACTGGCAAGGCTGATAGAGAAAAAAAAAGACTCAACTAATAATTTTAGGAACGAAAATAGGGCAAAAGCACAGATAAACAGAGTGTAAATTACTGCTCTCAGAATATGAAGGAGCTTCAGAACTGACCCAGTGAGATCCTCCCTAGGTGTCCCCAGGCAGCCTTTTCCATCGTGGGCAAGGCTGACCTCACAGAAAGCCGCATTCACCTCTCGGCCTCTCATGTCCCATGCTGTTACTGATGTTCACATCCACAAGCTTCCACTGGGCATGCTAACGACATGCACACACACACACCAAAACTGCCCTTATGCATCCAAATGTGCACACTGACACACGTGTTCTGACAATACTCAGCATTGTGCATGCATGAGCGTGCTCACCTGCATGCACACACACATTTTATGCCAAACATGCTCACATGTGCACACACCCCAATTAACGTGCCACACCACGGTGCTCAGTCACACTTGCGCACGGGTCCATCCACAGTCTGTATGCACGTGAAGGCACCTTTACACAGAGGGTGCCAGGAGAGTACCCTTGTACGTGTTACACAAGAGCACAATGCCATCAACGTGCCGCCTCCCACGGGGGCCTGGGGGGTGGGCAGGGCGTACCTCCAGCTCCCTCAGCAGCTCCGACTGACCACATGACTCCAGGTCTTCAAGGGCTTCCCCGAACATGCGCCAGAAGCCCTCCTCGCAGGCGGGGCCGGGGGCGGGGCTGTAACGTAGGAACCAGAGAGTGTCAGCTCCTGGCGGGTGGGCTGGGGCCTGAGGAGTCTTCCGGGCCCTGGGGCCCTGCGCTGGGCTCAAGGGGCCATTGGGTGGGCGGGCAGGCAGGAAGGCAGGCATCCTCGGTGGCAGTGTCGGGGGCCCGGGGTGGTAGTTGGTGACACGGAATGGGGGGAAGACGCAGTTGGGGCAACCAGGACTGTCGATGGCCAGCTAGAACAGGGGCAGATGAGACGGGGTGGAGAGCGGTGACACAGGACGCCTGGGAAGAGAGACAGACAGACGGATGGACGGACAGACAGACAGGAGATCCATGGTACAGCCCCAGAGGACAACCCCAGGCCCCACCCAGACACAAGGCATTGCAGGACAGTGACAGGGACAGAGCTGGAGCTGGCAAGGACACAGATGGATGGAGACGATGGAGTATTAGGGCTGGGGAAAGGGCTGCGCCACCCTATAACTTCCATCACAGGAGGTATGGCCCGTTATCAGCTCTAAAATCGGGTCTCATCAGAATGGTAACATGCCATGTTTTCACGCTTCACCGTTTACAAAGCCCTTTGCCATCTATAAAGCCCTGGACGTTATCAAGTGTGCTGTGGTGTGCAAAGCACTCTCTCTCACGAAGGCACGCAGGCATTCCTCTCAAAGGGAGCGGCCAGGACAGTGATGCAAATTAGGTGCCTCCTTCCCTTCCCATTTCAGAGATGAGAAGACTGAGACTGAAGGCCATCTGCTCCATTCAACTCAGTTCTACAAACGTTTTGAGCCAGGCCGTCTCCTGAGCACAGGGCTATGGAGGGGAATAGGGTGAAGGCCCTGTTCTTAAGGATGAGGGTCCCTCATGGAGCGCGTGTGAGCAGCTACTGGATGCCTGGCTGAGCTCGGGATGCCAAGCAGAAGACACAACAGCCAGGTGATTAACAGGTAGAGACCACCAGTGCTGCCAGGAGGCTCACGCGAGCAGCTGTGGGTACCAGCAGAGGGAGGGAGGATCAGGGAAGCCTCCCAGAGGCAGGTCTAAAGGATGAGTAGGCATCGGCCAGGAGAGGGGAGGGGACAGCATTCTAGGCAGAAGGAACTGCCCGACCAAAGCAGAGCCGTGGGAAGCTGGTGGCTGAGGCCGCACGAGGACCAGCATTTCTCCACCGGGTGTGCTCCCCGCAGGAGCATCTGAATTCACCACAGAAACCACCACGTCCCCAGCCCAGGGCTGACGCTCGTGACCATGACCCGAGGGCCCCTGCAGGAGGCCATCACCATCTGGGCCAAGTCGGGAGGGTGTGGGTTCGAGCCCTCAGTGTCTGGGAACAGCTGATCATCAGGTGTTTGGAGGGCCGGCCGGCCAGGCTGCCTCTCCAGCCTCACACCTTTGCCCCTGCTGCGCCCTCCGGCCAGCGTGCCCTTCCCCCGCCTCGGTCTTCTGAGATGGCTCTGCTCCACACTTCCTCTCCCCTCCCAGGAGGTGCCCTCCTGAGGCCAGACAAGACTTGCCCATCGCCCCCATCGCCTTGGCACAGGGACCGGCTCCCCGCACCCGTCCTGGCCAACAGGGCGAGCCGGTGTCCCCTGTGGAGTCCCCACCACAGACCTAGCTGGTGGCCCCCAGTCATCTTCCTCTTCCTCCTCGGGGAAGCTCTCGTCGGCAGGGGCTGGGGTGTAGCTTGTCCTCCGGGGCTCGGTGGGTGGGGGACTGCTTCTCAGCCGGCTGCACCGCCACTCCTGGGGGGTCACGCCCCGGGCTGCCGCCTGTGGAGTGCAGGAACCTGGCAGGTGGACAGAGCGGGCGCCTATATCCTCTCTGTGCCCTTAGCTTGCCCTCCTTCCTGCCCCATCTCTAGCTGTGCTGGGTGGCCCAGGAGAGATCTTTGCCCTCTCTGGGCCTGCCTGACTACCCAGAGTCCCCTGAGGACCCCTGCCACCTGGACCCCTACCCCAGAACCCCCTGGATCTCCTCATCAACAGCAGACTTAATGCTGAGGCTCCAGGATCCTGTCCCAGCTCCACGGGGCTCGGCTTGGCTGACCCCTGCCTGAGAGGGAGGTCCACTGTGTTAACCATCCCCTTCTCGCTGCCACGGGGAGCTCTGAATGTCTTGCCCCAGGGGGTAATGCTGAGAGATGCTGACCCACTTCTGGAGATGGAGAAGCTGACACTGAGATCGGGCAGATATCCAGTGAGTGAGAACCAGGGCCGAGGGCCACCTGAGACTACCTAGAGGCCTCACTCCACTACTCCCTGAGCTGGGCCTTGGGGAGTCCCTGTGGTTCTGGGTCCCAGAGGCCAGAAGGCCAGCCACCAGATTCAGATGCCCCCAAGGGCACCCATGGGTCTCAACACACATGGGCAGGGGAGCTTGTGTCCTTGGGGGCGCCCTGGGGGTGTCCACCCAAGAGGGTCTCATAGGATGGGGTGGGAGGGGGCTTTCTGCCTTCCTGCCTTCAATGGGATGCAATCAACACTGAGCACTTGTTGTATGCTGGCCGTCGGGCTGGGAACGAAGGAGGCAGAAGTAAGACCGCTTGGTCCCAGGCCTCGTGGGGGTGATCTGAATGGGCAGCTGCAGTGCTGTGCAGCCCGGGAAGGCCTGCAGTTCACACTCTCAGGAGTGAGGGGCCCTCAGAATGGCTAATGGGGCCCAATCAGTTCTGCCTTCAGAAGGTGTCCCTAAAGGATGGGGCCAGCAGAAGGGGAGCAAGAAGGGTTAGGTGGAGGGAACAGCCCCTACAAAGGCCCACGGAGAACACAGTGCTTGTCCAGGGGCCCGAGGTGTTACCTGGGCCCCCAAAGCCACCCTCAGTGGCCAAGCTGCCCCAGGACTCCACTGCGCTGTCCACACTGGGCACAGTGGACGAGGATCGGGCTGCCAGCAGGCCGCCTTTCAGCGCCTCTGGCGGGTCCTCATCCGCATCGCTGGCTTCGCTGAGGCTGCCTGATTTGCGGGGTAGGAGGGGGCCTGGGAGGAAAAGTGGGTGTCAGTGCCACTGGCTTCTGACCTTGGAGACAGAGGTGCTCAACCAGCCTCAGTTTCCCCACTTTGGCCTGGTTTGGGAACTCACAGGCCCTGGGCTCCCTGAGCCTCCTGCTAGGCAAGCTGACAGGTGAGATGGGAGGCACGCCAATAGGCAAACCCGTTTCAGAGATGTGAAAGCTGAGGCTCAGAAAGGCTGCACAGCATGCCCAAGGTCACATGGTGAGCAACAGTGGAGCCCAGATTAGAAGGAAGGCTTTAAAGCTCAGGTTCCATCCACTCCCTACCAAAGCATGGGGGACAGATTCAGGGGAAACAGAGGAATGTATGAGTGACGGCCACAAGGCAAAACAAGCAGGCACCTCAAGAGGCAGGAGGTGATGAAGAGCATGGTTCAGGCCCAGAGGGCCCCACACTGGCTGTATGACCTCAGGCCCATGGCTCCCATCACTCTGAGCCTTGTTTCCTCTGTCTCCACTGTCCCAGGTACCCTCCCACCTCCACGGGGTGAGCAACGATTCAGTGAGGTCGGGCCTCACAAAGCTTGGCACAGAGGCTGAGGGATCTCTCTTCCTAAATGGGCTGGATGGCGCCCAGGTGTGGGGTGAGGCTCACGGTCTAGCTGCTTCTTGATCTTCAGGGTGACGGTCTCACCAGCCACCTGCAAGAGGTGGATGGCCTCACTCAGTGGCCGGCCCTTGAGGCTAACACTGTTGATGGCCAGGATACGGTCCCCAACGTGGATAGCGCCAGTCCTGGGGAGGGGGCACAGGGTAGAGGATGGGCGTTAGGGCCTTGAAGTGGGGGTCTGCCCTGGGGGAACTCAGGAACCCCAAAGCACAAGCCTGACTGACCCCAGTTAAACCCACCTGGGGTGGGGGGGAAAGCAAGTGTGATTGTATTAACAGAAGTATGAAGTCTAGCATCTGGGAGGGGATTTTCCTGCTCGAGTCTAAAAGTTAAGTTCTGGAACCAGTGTCCAGCATGAGTTTTGAGGATGGTTTGAATGCCACATACTAGCTGACAACTACTATGTGGTCTTAGGCCAGTTCCTTAACTTCCCTGAGTCTCAGTTCTTTCATCTGTAAAGTAAGGGTGATAATATGTATTTTATCAAATGATAATTGAAGGATGGATGGGTGGAATGAATTCACGTTTCCCTCCAGCTGAAGTCCATGTGTAGCCTTTCCCTCTCCCTGGATCTCAGTTTCCCCACCTAGAGAATGAGCCTAAGCCCCAGGGTCCAGCTGACTTCACAGAGGGCTATGCGGTGGTGGGGGGGATGAAAAGGCCAAGCAGTAGCAGTGTACTAGCCCCATGGTTTTCTACCTAGATAGTATTAGAATTACCTAAGGAGCTTTTTAAAAAGTGCGGATGCCTGGCCCCTCCCCTTGACCAATGAAATCGTACCTCTGGGAGCAGGGCCAGGTAAGGTAATTCTGAGGAGCAGCTAGGGCTGAGGGTGGGGATGGGGGTTGCAGCAGGTGCTGAGAATGCACCTGACCTGGGTGGGGGAGAAGGAAGCAGAGGACTGGAGTGGGGGGTCTTAAACTCTAAATGTAGATTTTGCCCCCAGGTGGGAGCTCATGGAGGGTCAAGCCCCTCCACGCCCAGCATTGCCCAGCAAGCTCGCCGAGGGCCTAGGGGAGTGACTGAGTCAGAATATGGTGGATTTGTGGGGAAGGCCAGAGCTGTGCCATCCAGTACGATGGCCACCAGCCACGTGAGGCTACTGGGCTTCTGAATTGTGGCTGGCCTGAAAGGAGACATGCTGGAGGTGTAAAATACACACCAGATTCTGAAGACATAATATAAAAGAAGAATGTAAAATACTTTGTTAATTATTTTTATATTGATTACATGTTGAAATAATAAGTACATATTTAAGATCTAAAAAATTTTTTACTTTTCTAATGTGGCTGCTAAAAAGTTTATAAATAAATTTGTGGTTCACAGTATACTTTAGTTAGACAGCGCTGACCTGGATCAGCCAGGCAAAGGCAGACAGGTTGTCTACTGTGCCCTGTAGGGCTGGTGCACAGTAGGTACTCAGAAAATGCCAGACTGGATGAAGACATTTGAGGTCAGAACCGGTCCCACTGGCCTCTGCAGTCTGCTGGACACCCAGCAGGGGGCGATCCAGGAGCACAGACGCCAACAGGTTGACGCCTCAGCCCCAGAATCCCTCCCATCCTCCTGCACCACCCCACCATGGTTTCGCCCCTTGTGCTGTGTCCTCCTCCAAGGGGCCATTCTGCCCGCCAGGCTGGGCAAGGCTTCCCTTTTACAGAAAGCTCTTCTCAGTGCCTGGAGCTCACTGCAAACCTGTCCAGAGAAAGGCTGTCTCACCCACACTGGGGTTGCCTCCCTGTGACCCTCGTGGGGACCAGTTCCACTTCTGGGCCCAGATCCACCTGCTTCCCCCTCCAAACTGGACAGCCTGGACACCCCTCTTCTCACATCTCTCCCTTCTGCCACAATTTCAGGGAAACTTTCTAGGGGAAAGGATAGCAGGGACCCCTGCCTCAATGCCTCAAGAGAGGTGCCAGGCTGTGCTGGGACCCAGGTACCAGGGACATGGCCCCTGTACTATGAAGGCACACAGCAGGTGCTCCAAAAAGACTCACATGCTGACTTTCCAGAAATGGGGTGATCTCCAGGTTTGGGGGAGCAGAGGGATGAGCATACATTTATCCAGCAGTTACCTGAAGTCAGGAGGTCTGCCAGGGGCTGGCCCGCATCTGAGGAACTGAGGCGCAGAGAGGGATGGGACAGGCCCCAGGTCACCCAGGCCATCGATGTTGGAACAAAGGTAAGATCCAGTTTGGCTGATCCCAAAGCCCAGCTCCTGCCCCATGGGCTCACCTGTGAGTCCCCACAGAGCCCCGGCTCACCTCTCAGCCAAGCCACGCTTGGTGAGTCCCGAGATGACAATGGGATCGAAAGGCTCCTCTGTCCCTGAGATGGTGATGCCCAGGGGACCCCCGTAGCGTTTCAACTCCACCGTGTAGCTGATGGCACCCGTGGTCTCCTGTTCATCTGCGGGGGGGTAAGCATCAGGGCTGGGGGACACCCATCAGGGGTAGGCCATAGGAATGGGCACTCCCAGAGCCCTGCCAAGCTTTAATGCACTTACACTCATCATACTCATCCATTAATTCACCCACTCCCTCAGCCATTAATTCACCGATTTACACAGACACTAATACACCGATTCCCTAGGCCACTAATACACCCATTCCCTCAGCCATTAGTTCAACCATTCCCTCACATTTAATTCAGCCATTCCCTCAGCCATTAATTCACCTATATCCCTCTGCCAGTAATACACCCATTGCCTGAGCTATTAGTTCACCCATTCCATTATGCCAATAATACACGCATTCCGTCACCCATTAATTCATTCATTTCCTAAGCCACTAACAAATGCATTCCCTCAGCCATTTAATATACCCATTCCCTCAGCCAATAGTTCACTTTCCTTCATGCCATTAATACACCCATTCCCTTAGCCTTAATACACATTCTCTCAGCCATTACTTCATCTATTTCTTCACCATTAAGCCTCCATTTCCTCTTACATTAAATCACTGATTCCCTCATCCAACAATACACCCACATTCCCTCAGCCATTAATATACCCATTCCCTTATGCCATGAATTCACCCATTCCCTTAGCCATTAATTCACCCATTCCCTCAGCCAATAATTCACCCATTTTATAAACCATTAACATACCCATGCCCTCAGGCATTAATTTACCCATCCCCTCATCCATTAATTGACCCATTCCCCGCATACCATTAATACATGCACTCCCTCAGCCATTAAATCACCTAATCCCTCAGCTATTAACACACTCATTCCTTCATGCCATTGATTCACTCATTCACTCACCTATTACGGTTTTTTTTTTTGTTTGTTTGTTTTTTGTTTTTTGCGGTACGCGGGCCTCTCACTGTTGTGGTCTCTCCCGTTGCGGAGCACAGGCTCCGGACGCGCAGGCTCAGCGGCCATGGCTCACGGGCCCAGCCGCTCCGCGGCACGTGGGATCTTCCCGGACCGGGGCACGAACCCGTGTCCGCTGCATGGGCAGGCGGACTCTCAACCACTGCGCCACCAGGGAAGCCCTCACTCACCTATTAATACACACATTTCCACATCCATTACTTCACACACTCTCTCCCATTAATTCACCTATTTCCTCGGCCATTAATACACCCATTTCCTCATACTGTTAATTCACCCATTTCCCTCAGCTCTAATACACATATTGCATAGCCATTAATTCACCCCTTCCCTCAGCCATTAATTCATCCATTCCTACAGGCATCAATACACCCATTCCCATGCCATTAATACAACCATTCCCTTGGCAACAAATACACCTGTTCCCTAAGCCATTAATTCACCCATTTCCTCAATCATTAGTTCACTCATTCACTGATGCTAATAACGCATCCAATCCCAAAGGCACTATCATACCCATTACCACAGCCATTAGTTCACCCATTCCTTCATGGATTTAATACACCAATTCCCTCAGCCATTAATTCATCCATTCCCTCAGCTATTGATTCTCCATTCCCTCAGCCATCAATTCACCCATTCCATCACCCATTAATTCCCCCATTCCCCCAGCCATTAATTTACTCATTTCGTCAGCCATTAATTCACCCATCAACCAGGCATAATACACTAATTCCCTCATGGCATTAATACACCCATTCCCTCAACGATTAGTTCACACATTCATTCATGCCATTAAAAGAACCATTCCCTCAGTCATTCATTCAGTCATTCACTCTGCAATTAATTCACCTCTTCCCTCAGCCACCAATACAATTCCCTCAGCCATTAATACAACTCCCTCATGCTGTTAACACCCATTCCCTCACCAATTAGTTGACCCATTCATTCATTCATGCCATTAACAGACCATTCCCTCTGCCATTAACATACCCACTCCCTCAGCCATACTTAATCCACTCCCTCTGCTATTATTTCACCAGTTACTTCAGCCATTAATTTACCCAATTTAATCAGGCATTAATTCACCTACTCCCACAGCCATGAACACACCCATTCCCTTTTCCTTTAATATATCCATTTCCTCATGCCATTAATTCACCTCTTCCCTCAGCCATTAATTCACCTCTTCCCTCAGCCATTAATTCACCCATTCCCCAGCCATTAATTCACCCATTCCCTCAGTCATTAATACACACATTGCCTCATGCCATCATTTCACCCATTCCCTCGGCCATTCATTCAGCCATTCCCCGAGCCATCAATTCACCTATTTCCTCAGCCATTAATTCACCATTCCCTCAGCCTTTAGTTCACCCTTTCTTTCATGCCATTAATACACACATTCACTCAGCCTTCTTAATTCATCCATTGCCTCAGCTATTAATTCACCCTTTCCCCCAGCCATTAATTCACTCATTCCCTCAGCCAGTATTTCAAACATTCTGTCAGCCATTATTTCAGGCTTTCCCTCAGCCATTAAGTCACATTCCTTCAGCCACTAAAACACCCATTCTCTCAGCCATTACTTCACCCATTCCCTCAACGATTTTTTTTCAAAGCACTTTACTTTTATTAAACTCACATAACCCTCATAACAACTTTAGATACAGGTGACATTTTAACCTTCATTTTGCAGATGAAGAAACTGAAACACTGAGGTAAGTTGTTCACAGTCACAACTTAGTAAATGGTGCAGTTACAAGCAATCTGGCTCTAGATTCTGTGCTCTGAAATAGAAGACTCTTGCCTCTCTAGAATATATGTAATCTGGGAGCTCTTACATTAGGTGAAAATTTCAACTTATGTCATTATTGGGGTAAAATTGAGGTTTTGGGGTTTTTTTTGTTTTTTTTAAAGTTTCTAAGGATCAGATTTATCAAAGCTGCATTGAATATCTACTGATATCCATTGTTCCTGTTCTTACAGAGACAAAAAAGCAACTGTCCCCTGGGATACAGAGCCAGGAACAGCAGTGAGAAGACACCTAACCAAACAAACAAACACAAATCAGCAGAGTAACATAAGAAAACTGCTAGGTCCAGCCCTGCCTAACAGCCTCATTAGTGCCTCTACCTAAATATGTCTTATTTTCACTAATAACTTAGAAAATATCTGGTCAGATAGAATGGCTTGCCTTTCAGAGCAGTAAATAGGTATATCTACCAATTATATATACTGGGAGAAACAAAAACATTTCCAAACACATCACTTTTGAAAATCTCAACAGTGATATTCCCTTGTCAAATAGAAACAATCTAATATTCATTTCTTCTATTGTTTTTTCATGGAAAGGCACTTTGTTTTTTAAAAAATTTATTTATTTTTGGCTGCGTTTGGTCTTCACTGCTGCGTGCGGGCTTTCTCCAGTTGTGGTGAGCGGGGGCTACTCTTTGTTGCAGTGCACGGGCTTCTCACTGCAGCGACTTCTCTTGCTGCGGAGCACAGACTCTAGGCGCGTGGGCTTCAGTAGTTGTGGCATGCAGACTCAGTAGTTGTGGCTCGCAGGCTCTAGAGCTCAGGCTCAGTAGTTGTGGTGCACAGGCTTAGTTGCTCTGCAGCATGTGGGATCTTCCCGGACCAGGGCTCGAACCCGTGTCCCCCGAATTGGCAGGCGGATTCTTAGCCACTGTGCCACCAGGGAAGCCTGGAAAGGCACTTTATTTTAAATATAGCAGTGTGTACATGTCAATCCCAAACTCCCAATCCCTTCCTGCCCACCATCCCCCTTGGTAACCATAATTTCGTTCTCTTAAGTCTGTCAGTCCGTTTCTCTTTTGTAAATAAGTTTATTTGTATCTTTTTTTGTATTCTGCATATAAGCAATATCATATGATATTTGTTTTTCTCCGCCTGACTTACTTCACTTAGTATAATATTCTCCAGGTCCATCCATGTTGCTGCAAGTGGCTTTATGTCATTCTTTTTAATAGCTGAGAAATATTCCATTGTATATATGTACATCTTCTTTATCCATTCTTCTGCTGATGGACATTTAGGTTGCTTCTATGTCTTGGCTATTGTAAACAGTGCTACAATGAACATTGGGGTGTATGTATCCTTTCGAACCATGTTTTTCACTGGATATATGCCAAAAAGTGGGATTGCTGGATCGTATGGTAGCTCTATTTTTAGTTTTTTTTTTTCTTTTTTCTTTTTTTTTGCGGTATGCGGGCCTCTCTCACTGTTGTGGCCTCTCCCGTTGCGGAGCACAGGCTCCGAACGCTCAGGCTCAGCGGCCATGGCTCACCGGCCTAGCCGCTCCACGGCATGTGGGATCTTCCTGGACCGGGGCGCGAACCCGTATCCCCCGCATCGGCAGGCGGAGTCTCAACTACTGTGCCACCAGGGAAGCCCTATTTTTAGTTTCTTTAAGGAACCTCCATACTGTTCTCCATATTGGCTGCACCAATTTACATTCCCACCAACAGTGTAGCAGTGTTCCCTTTTCTCCACACCCTCTCCAGTATTTATTGTTTGCAGATATTTTAGTGATGGCCATTCTGACTGGTGTGAGGTGATACCTCTTTGTAGTTTTGATTTGCATTTCTCTAACAATTAGAGACCTCGAGCATCCCTTCATGTGCCTGTTGGCCATCTGTATGTCTTCTTTGGAGAAATGTCTCTTTAGGTCTTCCACCCATTTTTTGATTGGGTTGTTTGTTTTTTTGATATTGAACTACATGAGCTGTTTGTAAATTTTAGAGATTAATCCTTTGTCAGTCGCATTGTTAGCAAATATTTTCTCCCATTCTCTGGGTTGTCTTTTTGTTCTGTTTATAGTTTCCTTTGCTGTGCAAAACTTTTCAGTTTAATTAGGTCCCGTTTGTTTTTGTTTTTACCTCCATTACTCTGGGAGATGGATCGAAAAAGATACTGCTGCAATTTATGTCAGAGTGTTCCACCTATGTTTTCCTCTAAGAGTTTTCTGGTATCGGTCTTACATTTAGGTCTTTAATCCATTCTGAGTTCTTCTTGTGTATGGTGTTAAAGAACGTTCTAATTCCATT